CCCACAATATACAGCACCCTAATAAGATAAAGGATATCTACAAAACAAACCTTACAATTACTATCATGCTTGGTAGTAAACAGTGAATACTTGCTTCTTTCTGAATTTGAGGACAATATAAAGATGTCCACTATCACCACTTCCATTCAACACTGGTCTGGAGATCCCAATCAATGCAATAAAGAAAAAGTAATAAAATATGTAAAGATTAGGAAATAAGAAATGAAAACATTATTCACAGATGACAGACATGATAGTGTATAAAATGTAAATGCCAAAAAAAAATCTACACATTGTTTCAAAAGAATCAAGACTGTCAAAACTATTAAGTGAATTTAGCAGAATTTCTGGATAAAAGGAGAAAATACAAATGTCAACTGTATCAAAATACAAATATACCACGTTCACAGAAGAATCAATATTGTTACAATAGTTCTTCCTAAATTGGTCAAGAGATCCAGTATCATCTCAATCAAAATGAAGCAGATTTTTTGGTAGAAATAGGCAAGCTGATTCTAAAACTCAGCTGGAAATGCAAAGGCCCAGGGTAGTCAAAGTGAAGTTAAAAATATCAAGACTTATCATAAAGCTACGATAATCAAAACTAGTAACACTCAAACTAGACCAATGCAACAAAATAGAATGACTAGAAACTAACATATACAGTTACCAGTTTTGCAAGAAGGCAATACTGTAATTCAGTGGGGATAGATTGGTCTTTGTAATAAATAATACTGATGTAATTAGTATCTATAAGAAATGTAGAACCCTCTCATAAAATACACAAAAATTAACTTGAAATGGATCATAAAAAACAAGAAAGATAACAAAGCTTCTAAAAGAAAACACAGAATAGTATCTTCAAAACCTTGAAGCAGGCAAGATTCTTCAAGAGAACACAAAAAGCAGCAAACATAAAAGACTGACATATGAGACTTGACTTCATTAAATTTTAAGAACTTCCGTTCATTAAACACACACACACACACACACACTCACAAACAGGTGTTAAGAAGTAAAAAGGCAAGTCATGGCTGAAAGAAGATACACACAACATGCACATCCCCAAAATGAATCTACCTAAAATACCTAAGAAACTATAAATAAATTTTAAAAACACAACCCAATGTAAAAACAGGCAACAGACCTGAATAGTCACTTCACAAAAGAAGACATATAAAAATATACTTAACATCATTCAACATGGACAAATGCAAATTAAAACCACCATCAAAGTGGCAAAAACAAGACAGATAATGCTAACTATTAGCAAAAATGTGGAGCAACTGGAACTCTCATAAACTTGTTGATAGAAGTGCAAAATGGCACAAGCACTTTAGAAAACTTTTCATAAAGTAAAACTGTAAGCCTATGCTACAATCCAGCAATTCTGCTCCTAGGTATTTACTTGAAAGAAATAAAAACATATCTTTAAAAGAAAAGATTTAGGCCAGGCACGGTGGCTCACACTTGTAATCCCAGCACTTTGGGAGACCAAGGTGGGCGGATCACAAGGTCAAAAGATCAAGACCATCCTGGCCAACATGGTGAAACCCTGTCCCTACTAAAAATACAAAATTAGTTGGGCGTGATGGCATGCGCCTGTAGTCCCAGCTACTCGGGAGGTTGAGGCAGGAGAATTGTTTGAACCCAGGAGGCAGAGGTTGCAGTGAGCCCAAAGCACGCCATTGCACTCCAGCCTGGCGCCTGGTGACAGAGCGAGAGACTGTCTCAAATAAAAAAGAAAAGAAAAGATTTATACAAAAATATTCATGGTACCTATCTTGTAATAGCTAAAACTGGAGACAATTCACTGCTCTTCAACAACAGAATGGATAAATGGTGGCCAATTCATATAAGGAAGCACTACACAGTATTAATACAGTATGAACTACTATTCCACGCCACAAAGCAAACATAATGATGACTAAAAGAAACCAGACACATGATTCCTTTTTTTTTCTTCTGAGACATGGTCTCACTTTGTCACTCAGGCTGCCATGCAGTGGCACAATCAGAATTCACTGCAGCCTCAAACCCCCAGGCTCAAGTGATCATCTTGCCTCAGCCTCCCAAGCAGCTGGGACTACTGACATGCACCACAACACCTGGAAATTTCTATATATTTTTAATAGAGACAAGGTTTCGCCATGTTGCCCAGGCTAGTCTTGAACTTTTGGGCTCAAGCAATCTGCCTACCTCAGCCTCCCAAAGTGCTCAGATTACAGGTGTGAGCCACCACATCTGGCCCACATATGATTCCTTTTATAATATATGAGGTAGTGACTGGAAAAGGCAAAAGCAGGTCCTCTGGTGTGCTGGCAATGTTCTTTATCTTGATTTTGTTAGTAGTTGCACGAATGTATGGCCATATACATGAAAATTCAACAAGCTGTACACTTAAGATATGTACCCTGCACTTTATTACGTTAAGTTACACCTCAATTGTTTTAAAAAATTTAAATCTTTTAAACATAATTGGGCCAAAAAGTATAGTCAAACCTAATGTTTTCAGAAATAGTCCTTCATGTCTAATTTTAATAAGAAAACTCTCTACCAAGATACAATAAAAATAAAAACTGGAGCATAAGAATATACATAGTGGTATCTGGTCTACCTTTTATGTTACTGAAAAGTCAGTCCCAAATTTATAAATTTGTCATGCCTTTAACACACAGAAAAAAGAAAGTTATTCTACATCCTTAAAAAAGATATTTGAACATTAATGATTTTTTTGCAACAGTTCCAAAGTTTATAGCCTTAGACTTTGATAATGTCTCTCCATTATCAAAATACACACAAAAAAAGAAAGAAATCGCCAAAACAAAATATCAGTTCCTGCTTTTATGACAATATTAGTATACTCTAAAGAGCATCCCTAGGGCAAATCATTTAACTTCATCCATAAAATAGAGAAAGCACATTACCTCTAAAAGCTATTTTTAATGTTCAAGGATTCTACGTTTCTGACATTCAACTAATTAAAACTGATTAGTTTCCCTAAATACCTTCCAAAACAGAAGTCTTTTGTGTGACATTCAGTCGTACATCAATACTATATTCATATTTACCCTTTCCCAATCTTTTCTCACATCGGCCCTATGTAAAGCCCATGAACTTTCCTTTCTTGTTATTTTTGTTAATATGATTTCCCCCATATAAAACCTTCCTCTCCCAGCTGGGTGTAATGGCTCATGCCTATAATCCCAGCTCTTTGGGAGGTTGAGGAAGGAGGATCACTTGAGGCCAGGAGTTAAAGACCTGCCTGGACAACATAGTGAGACTCTGTCTCTAATATTAAAAAAATAATAATAATTTAGCCAGGCTCCCACTTGAGCCCAGGAGTTGGGGCTGCAGTGAGCCACGATCATTTCCCTGCATGCCAATGTAAGTAACAGAGTGAGAGTGAGACTCTGTCTCTAAGAAAGAAAGAAAAAAAAATCCCTCTTCTAAAGCTTTATATTTGCCTAATAAAATCTTCGTCATCTCTAAATATATTCATACATTCAAATACTTATTAAGTATCTTCTCCATGTAAGGCAGGAAACTAGACAATAAACTGAGGACAAAGAAACAAGCCATGATTCCACCAATAATGTGGACATGTAAAAAAGACTAACCCTGGCCTGGTGGGGTGGCTCACGCCTGTAATCCTAGCACTTTGGCAGGCCAAGGTGGGCTGATCACCCAAGGTGAGGAGTTCAAGATCAGCCTGGCCAACATGGTGAAATCCCATCTCTACTAAAATATAAAAATTAGCTGGGCACAATGGCAGGTGCCTGTAATCCCAGCTACTCAGGAGGCTGAATGGAGAATTGCTTGAACCCGAGAGGCGGTGGTTGCAGTGTGCCAAGATTGTGCCATTGCACTCTAGCCTGGGTGGCTGAGCGAGACTCCATCTCAAAAAAAAAAAAAAAAAAAAAAATCCAAACAACAACAAAAAAGACTAATCCTAATACAAGTTAGAATCAAATAACTGGCAAAGAGGCCAGTTTATATTGTCATAGTAAAACAAAATCAATAAGCCTTAGACCTAGGTGAAACTCCCCTACCCTGTCAATTTTCCCTACTTTATTCCCAGATAGTTTTCTCTCAATTGTTCTGAATCACCATCAGACTGTTTTATATCACTTACTCATAACACCATTTATATATCTGTATTATTCCCCCAATACATATGAAACTTCAAAAAGACGTTTTCCTGTATACTTTCCATATGTACTAAATTTTTAAGCACTAAAGAAATACTATTCAAATAATAATTTTAAAAACTACTTTCCAAATGTGAAGATCTCCCCTATTTTATCTAATAATAATTACAGTCAAAGAGATTACAATTAAATTGAGTAAAAATTAAAAGAACTTGCACCTCATTGAAAGTTTCTATGGAGAATTTTATGGAAAGTCACCAAGAGTTAGGTTCCTTGAAAAACTGAATTTATTCTTTTAAATATTTTTATAAAGGAAAAAAAGTAACTTATTTTCCTTTCAGAAAGTTTCCCAAAACATTCTTGTATTAACCTGAAATATATAAGCCTTCATATTTTATAATATACCTAGAAAAACAAAAATACAAAACCTAATTACCATCTGCCTAAACACTCAATCATTCCATGTCCACAGAACAGTATTTATGAGGGTATCTGTCTTGCAGCTGACAAAATCAGAGCTATGTGACACATTTCTATAACAGTAATGCTGTGGAAAGATTGATAGACATTTTTTACATTTAACCTATTAACAACTATTTCATATTTTATTATACTGTATATAGTTATAATCTAGGAGGATGTGACTATTTGATTACATAATCAAATTTATATAACCACCATAATCTAGTACAAATTAGCTTGCTGAGTATTTTAAAACACTACCATTAAAAAACAGCTACCAGTAAGTTTTTTGATCAAGCATTATAAAAACTTAAATTCAAAGCTTTATGTAAGATATAATTCAAAATCTATATTACCAACTTTACTCTGAATAAACTCATACTGTACCTGATTACTACCATGGCCAAAAGGAGTACTAGATAAATTAGTGGTTACCCTGTGCAAAATAATTTCACCACTAAGAGAACCAGAAGCAATGTAGCAATCATTCCAGTTGTATGTTACACAAGTTACTTCATCTTTATGATCCTGAAAGAGAGAAATGAAAGTAAGTACACTGCCCCATAACCCCCACAGCCCATTTTCATGTTTCTGTAAATACCATATATTAGGTATTTGTCAATCTGATATTTGCTTTAACCTTTTCCTCAAATAAACAGAGAATTATTTTTCATAACCATAAAAATGGTCCAGGCATTCTTGAAAAAAGAGAGAGACATTATGGAAAGGTAATTTTCTACATGGCACTATGTCTACCTTAAAGAATTCACTCCTCTGACAAATAACAGGTATTGCAAGTTGACTATTGTTGAGTTCCTGCTTTAACATGAAAATGGCAGAGAATATGCTAAATAAACAATGGAAGCAAAGTGTCAAGGACAGAGAAAGAGCTACTGTGAACAAAGTTGACAGAGGGACTTTATGGAAGACATAAAGCTGGAGTTCAACCTTAAAGAAAAGAGAAAAATCATGGGAAGGGGAAAGAAACCAGATGTTACACAATGTAAGAGTAGGAAAAAAACAAATGAGCAAGGTATGTGTGAGATAACAGCTGCTTCCATTTGATGAGTATCTACTAGTGCTGAGAGTTTCATATATTATTTAATGCTTAGAAAAGCCTGAGAGGCAAGGTCATTTTGCCCATTTTATAAATGAGGTACAGAAGACACAGAGAACTTAAGAAACCTGTGCAAGCTCATGTAACTGCTCAGAGACAGAGCCAGGATTCAATTCCATGTCAAACTCCAAAGCCTCTGTTCCTTCCACTATACCAGGCTGCCTCTCAAATCCAAATGGGAATTCACTTTGAGGAATAAAACTGTTGGGTTTTAAACAAACTGAGTTCACAAGGACTATGTTTTTCAACATCAAATTAGAGATGTCTAGCAGGAGCAGGGAAACGTGATCAAAATTGGGAGAAGAGTTTTTAACAGTCTGACGCCATGTCTCAATAATACCAACGAATCCTCGTATCTAATAATTATTTATGTAATTATTTATATTTTTAATTATTCATATTCAAATTATATTTTTATATTTATGTATATCTATGTAATAGCAAGAATAATAGCTATGACAGTCCACCTATATTACAGCTTTAGCAAGTGGTCCTTCAAGTATTTTCAGAGATTTCTTTACCTTTCGTTCCTCTCGTAAAACCAAGAAACACTTGCTATCCTGAGGAAAAAATGTTTGATGAGAAGAAAAAAGGAAGAGCAGACATTTTGTGTATTGTTCCCGTTTGGGAAATTAAGAACATGGGTCCAGTATAATTTCTGTGACTCTATAAAGAGGCAGGTTTCTTCCAAACTTCAACTGTGGAAAATAAGTCTTTAAGCAAACATTTACTAAGAACCTATCAAGTGCCAGAAATTGTGTTAATCACCAGGGAGAGGACTGTAGAGAAGAGATCCAGAGGTAAAATATTAGATTTCCCACTCTCGCAATTAGTCAAAATATTCATTAACAGAATGAATGAAGGCGCTAAGCACTAAGAATTTCACACCAAAAAGAGAGAAAACCATCCAGAGTAATCGGGAAAGCTGAAGATGGAAAAATGAATCAAATACGGCCATGCAGGGATGGGGCAAGTGAAGTTTACGTGGGTTCCATGAGAAGAGATCCAAAGGTAAAAGATTAGATTTCCCACTATCACAATTAGTCAAAATATTCATTAACAGAATGAATGAAGGCACTAAGCACTAAGAATTTCACACCGAAAAGAGAGAAAACCATCCAGAGTAATCGGGAAAGCTGAAGATGGAAAAATGAATCAAATATGGCCATGCGGGATGGGGCAAGTGAAGTTTACATGGGTTAAAGAAAGTTGTTCCTCTATGTATACATGCAGATATGATTATATTTTTCACATTAAATTTCTAAAAGACAAAAATTAATTTTAGGATCAACTTCTAAATATTAAAAAGACAATATAATGAAAAGTAGAATTCAAAAAAAATCATAACCAGACTTTCTTGTGCTGAATATTTATTTTCTGAAACTGCAAAAAGCTAATTAGTAAAGAAACATTAATCAAAATAGTAAATTCGTTTATAAAATATTTCATTACCAAGTTAAAAATACACACACACACACAAAGAAGAGCAGCCAAATATACTGAATAACTAAGAAGCTGACCTCCCCAACTCTGATTACTAAATTGAATACTATCATCCCCAAACAACTCTCATTTTCTCCAATATGCCCTAAAATAAGATCCCTGATGACCAAAAACCATAGTTTACAAAAATGAGTGAAGTGGTTCATTCAAACAAAAGTAGAACTAAACGAAAAATTAAGAAAAACGCTTTAAACTCTGATCATAAGCATTAATGCTATACATGGAAGAGAAAAGACCAAAAAAAAAAAAAAAAAGGGTTTTGGCTAAATAGCACCTTTATTTTCCCTAACAAATCTTAGTTCAATTCTGAAGCCCCTTACTTTTATCATAAAAGCTCAAAAATAAATGTTTGGTAAGTAGACTAACTGCATTGTAAGATATCCATTATTTTGTGAAGACTTTTTAAATCTGCTTACCTTAAGAGATCGATGAAGTCTTTTTGATTTTAAATCCCAAATATTAACAGTGTTATTTAGGCCTCCGCTTACCAAATACATAGATGTAGAATTTAAACTGACACATGTCTGCTTTTGCTATTAAAAAAAAAAAAAAAAAAGTTACCTTAATTGAACAGAGCCCAGAGCTGACTTTCAGGTCTCATCCAACACATAGTAAGCATGTGATAAATATTTGCTAAATTAAATACCATAAACATGCTAATCTTATACTAAAGAGCCACCATCACTGTCTTTCACATGGATCCAAGAGCTTTTAAGGGGGTCAAAAATGCTTCAAGGAAATCAAATAGATTTGCATTCACTTCCGGAGACTGGTGAAGATATAGGAAGCTTAGAAAATACCAACAGTCCTGGTCTCCCATCAGGGCTTGTTTGCCCATCCCACCTCCCCTTGATAAAGTCTGCTCTTGGATTTGCACAGAATATCCTAAGTTAAAATCAATCCCCAGCTCAAAAAATGCTAAAAATAGAAGAGACTTTAAAAAATTTCCAAGTGTAGAGCCCTCATTTTACCGATGGGTACGTTTTTTTTTTTTTTAAAGAAGTCAAAATACTTGCCCTAAGTCTCCCAGCAAATCTCCCTGTTAAGGAGACCAAGTCTCAGACATCAGGTCATCAAAGCCTGACCTCAATTGTTCCCCACCTTTGTAAAGACACCATCCAGTTTCTCAAGATAAAAATCTGGAATAACCCTAGATTTCTTATTCTCCCTCCCCTCCAATCTGTCAGTAAACTGCCTAACTCCAACCAAAAATAAATCCCACACGGCTCCCCTTTATCTATCGCTACTACTAACAATAACCCAAACCTTGCCAAACCATGACAGCAGCTTCCTAACTGGTTTCCCTGTTTCCACTCCTGCTTTCCTATATTTCATCCTTCATAAGTAGGGTGGGCTTTAAAAATGTAAATCAGATTATGTCTCCTTCTTGTTTAAAAATCTATCGCTTCCAATCACACCAAGAATAAAACCATTTACCTGGCTTTTGAAGTCCTATTTATCTGGCCATTATCTCATCTTTTACCATTTTTTTCCTCATCCACTAATTAATTCTCCAGCCATACTGACCTTCCATTCCTTAAACTTACAACCCTATGTTTGCCCCAAGGCTTCTACACAGCTATTCTCCTTAGCTAGAAAGCTAATTCTCTGAACCTTGGTTGGAAGACTTTCTGGCCAATAAATACCAACTTAAGTGTCACCACTTCAGGGGACCTCTACTGGCTACCTAATCTAACTTGCTATCACAGTATCTTATTTTAGTTTTCTGCATGATAACTTATCAATATCTGGGTATTTTTTGTTTACTGGTTTACTGTCTGTCCCCTGCCAGAATGTCAGTTTCACTGGCACAAAGCCCATATCCATGCTCGATATTTATAGAATAAATGGCTACTATAAAAATACTATAAAATACAGAGGTTATCTACTATAAAAATACAGAGGTTATCAAGTTCTTCTCAATGAATATCTTTGAGTGTCATCAATCTGGTGGTGCCATCAGTAACTATGCTACACAGAACACAATGTTGCACTTTTTTTTCCTATGTAACCTTCAGATGCACTATGAAGTTATATTAGTTGTAACTTCCTCAGTGCATCCTTGGATTCTTCAAATCCAAAGGGGACATTTTATGACTTCATTAAAAGTTAAAAGGTAAGTTATGTAGGTTTAGGCAAATCATCTCACCTTTCTGAGCCTATGTTTCTGCATTTGAGAAACCAAAGGTGAAGGCTAGATCTACTGTTCTTACCTTGAGAGTCCATGCCTCTCAGAAATATCCTCCGCTCAAAAGAGATTCTTTAAAGGGTGCAGATAGTCCCTTCCCTCCCCCGATTACAGTCCCCAAGGTTTCTTCTAGCTCTGAAATTTTGACCAAGAGTATCAACTAACATATAAAAACGGCACTATGCACACAACATCAATGTTTCAGTGTAGTTGCTGTAATTCTCCTGCAGATACCATCCTAGGAATTGACTTTGGTTGAAGGAGAGTAGTAAGATTTAGAATCTGGTTGTCACTGCAAATTAGGACAGTTTGCTAAGTACTATCAAAACAGCCTCTAAAGAAAATAGAAAAGGTGTCCATTGAAGATCGATATATTGGGACTCTAATCATCATCCCCAACTATAACAACGCTTAAGGGCTCAGAACAAAACTTATGTTTACAGCTGGCTAACCCTGTTGATAAGTCTTTTTTATGCTAAAGTATTATTAATGCAGCTAATGAACTTAAATAATTAATGGAAATTGTATAGTCATTACGGGAATCCTGTACCGCTCACGATGCAAGGCAAAAGGTATGATTCTACTATAAAGATATGAAATACAAAATCAAAGAAAATAAATATGAAAAAGCTCTACTCTAAAATTTTAAAATGAGTAGAGTCATAATTCATTTTCTCAAGTAGAAAAGGTCTAATTCCTCAAAGAGTACACAAGAGGACTCAGAACCAACAAAGTGGTTATTAGCACATTAATATGTTACTTTAAAAATTACTAGTAAAGCGGGAGGGGGAGGTGGAGAGGGATAGCCTGGGGAGAAATGCCAAATGTGGGTGAAGGAGAGAAAGGAAGCAAAACACACTGCCATGTGTGTACCTATGGAACACACATGGCAGTTCTTGCATGTTCTGCACATGTACCCCCAAACCTAAAATGCAATAAAAAGTTTTAAAAAAAAAATTACTAGTAAAATCTAAAAAATCAGTTTGTAAATATTTTTAAAACTAAATTAAAATAGATTCAAAATTTGAATTCAACTAATCTTTTATCCATCAGCATTATGATATGATTTGTTAACTATGGGAAAGAGGGCTAAGAATCATAGCAACTAATTTGGAATATTCACAAAACTCTTAGAATTATGTCACACTTGTGAATACCATCTATTATTTTTATACTTAAACAAACAAAAAAAGCTCCCAAATACTGGTTCACTAATTCTAAGGCATAATGCATAAAAGTAGTACATATATATAGTGGTAGAAGTAGCAGTCAAAATTGTTTTGATGTTGACATTAATAAATGTTTCTTGAACTTCTTAGGACATAAAGATCCAAAGATGGCTAAGATGTGTTGCCTGCTCTTGAAGACTTCAGTTTTCCTTTTATCAACCAGGGACATTCTATGCCTTGATTTTGCTTAAGACAAGTTAAACAGAGTGCCTCAAACTCCATTTCTACTGTTAGCAGATGTTCTCTCTGCCTCAGTCTCTAACATCTGTGGGTTAGAACTGAAGTTCAGGTTAATCCCACAGGATACCTTTAGGAGAGGACTGATAAAAATCAGAGTCCTCTTTAAATTAGTTGAGCTTTTATTCAGTTGTCCTGCTGTTTTCTATCTAATTGGGCTACCTTACCTATCCCAGTGTGTAAAATTATGACAATTCATAACAATTTAGAATCTGCTATAAAAACTTTGAAATGGAAAAAAAAAAAGCTATCAACTACTCATACCTTTTTATTTAAATCCTATCCTATTTAAAAAAGAAACAGCTTTCAAGCAGTATGTGACTGGAAATGAAGAAGCCAGCATTATCCTCAATCAGAGGGATTAACTTATAAAACAAAAGGATAAGGCAACAACATGCAGTGAGAGCTCCTTTTAAATGCCCTGGGACCTAAGCTCATTTTGACAAAGCCAACCTGTGAAAGGATAGCATGGGGGAGCTCAATCAGGACCCTCAGTACAGGTGGACAGAATCTGAAGCAGAGGGCTACCATCAGCTATGGGTCTTTTTCTGATGGTCCTAAGCCCAAGATCAGTAAAGTAGTGCTGTGTCATTAGAGTTCATATGCTTAGGTAAACCTAGTAACCTATGTGGGACATCATCCTAAAAGAGCAGCAACAGGGATCCTCTTCCACTGAAGGAAAATGGAGAAATGAAGTGCCTAGTTAACCAAATTCAAGTCTTCAATTGTTCCCCTAATATTCAATACTATTTTACCTAAAAACGCTTCAATAAGTATACGTATCTTGTTTTTAAGAGTTACCATATTATTTTGAGCTTAAAAGAGATACTTTTAAACACCTTTATATTTAGTCACAAGCACCATAATAAATAAGCAATTGCCAGGCAAACAAAACTAAGATTTTTTAAAGTTTTTTAAAAAAAAATCACTTACCCCTTCGGCAAGCTCTAAAAGTGGAAAAGGTTGACATTTGCAACTTGAAACAACTATTTTGTCGCCACTATAAGATGCTGTTACTAAAAAATTATCTAAATGAAGAGTTATGGAGCATCAAACGATCCATGAACATCTATAGCACTACACTAAAAATTGCAATTATAAAAGCAAACACACTAGGAAAACGAGCAATGAGTACAGCTTATATATTAGCTTTCAAAAATGGCTCATGTTACTATTAATAATTACTAAGACTAATTCTTTGTTACTACTGCAGGGAAGAGCTATCCTTCTTTCTTGCTCTACTGTCACTCAAAAGCTATTTAACCCATGTGAAATACTACTCTGTTTTCAAAGAGCAGGTCAGAGGGCTAATTTTATCCTTCAAGAATGAGAGCATGATAAAAGCAGCACCAGCAAATATCAATCAACCTTTTCATCTACAGAAATTGTTCAAGATATTAACCCAGTGCTTGGTACCAATCTAAACTAGGAAACCATCCATACTAGTCTCCTATTTTTCTATTTAAAAAAAAGTCTGATTTTTTTCCCAGAACTTGAATTTTTGTGATAGAATGTTTCAATCTTAAAGAATTAATCTTAAATTAAGAATGAATACTACTTAAATTAAGAATGAATACTTCTTAAATTAAGAATGAATGTTGTAGCTTACAAATATTTTATAAACATGTATGGTTAAATAGGAATTGTTGGTGTTATGAACGAGTTTTAATTTTTATATAAAATATAATTTAATCTTAATTTAAATTTTTATTTACCTTATTTTACATGAATTATAAGTACAACAATCAGTAAACACAAACAATAAGTATTTTAAAACTAAAACAATTAAATACAACAATATAACCAATAATAAGAGTCTAATTTTGAGAGCCATAACAAATTAAAATATCAGAAGTTTAAATCTGTGCTTTTTAGCAATTAAAATCTGTGAGTAAAAGCAATGGAGAAAGGTTAGACACTCAGAATCCCTAACTGCATTAACTTTTGAATGTTTTGGATAACTTTCAAGTATTTTGTAGACGGAGCATAGGTTGTAATTTTATTATGATATATGATGCAAACAAAATCATTTCTACCCAGATATTACAATAGTGAGAAAAATCATTTCCCTTTCCTTGGCTTCTTCCTCTGTTTACCACTACTCTTCTCCTTAGAATAAGAAAAGTACTGAAATATACTGTGGGTGGGTAATCTAGTTACTTTTTTATTTCTCTTGTAGTTTTAGAAATCATGAGAAAGTGAGGAACATAAGCTAAAGGACAAAAAAACAAACATGTAATCTACCTGGCACTTCACATTAACCCCATTCTTGAAATCTATGCTATGTGGACCCCAAGATGCTAAGGCTGGGAACTTTTTTTTTCAGTAATTAACCTCTCTGGAAGTGATCAAAGTCTTATTAAGAATAAGACTGTATGAAGGCTTTCAGTGCACATCTGCTCATACAAGAAAACTGTAAGACCAACTTCCAAAAGTCATACAACACTATTTCATAGTCACATCAGTTTTGTTTCCAGACTATTAAGTAGCACATCAGTAAATACCACTTTACTCCTAGTAAAACTCCTTGAAACAAACGTCAACCAAAAAATAATCTTACTACGAACTGCTACTTTTCTCTTATACAGTAAGAGGGAAAATTAAGCTCTAAAGATAATGAAAATCTAAAAATAGAGAACAGCAACTTCATGTACTTGTCACTCTCTTTAAAAGATTTTCCCTACTACACATCTGGAGAATCCTTCAAAAACGCACTCACTTTACCATCAGTTTGATTAACAGAGTACCGAAGTAATTTATTTTACTGCTTTAATACAAAATCAAGGAATGATAAGGAGGTAAATTTAATTCAGTAAGAAAAATGTATATCCTTTTTGTTATATTCATGCAAGAATAGTTAGGTTCATATAAAACTTTAAATATTTTTGTTCCTGGATCAGTCATATTTTAAAGCTTTTTTTTCCTTTCATCAGAAAGTAGAATTTAGTACTCGGTGTTGATAAAAATCAGACAAATGTTAAAATTTAATTCATTAAGAAATGGCGTAGGAGTTTCACAAAAGAAAATTTCTAACACACCAATTATATAAAACGTTTTCATATAAAAGGTGATAAGAGTACTATGGTTACAGCAGCGTTTCTCAACTGGGAGTGATTCAGGCAATTCTGGAAACCTTTTTGGTTGTCACAACTAGAGGCTATTGGTACCTGATGGGAGAAGGCCAACAAACCTTCTCAACGTGGTACAACGTACAGGGGAGGCCCAAAACAAATTTTCTGCCCCCAAAAGTCAATGGCGCAGGGTTCAAAAACCCTAGTTTACAGTCTTCACTCCCTCATTTTATTTTATCCACATTTAGAAGCTCACCAAGACAAGGAAGGCATCAATAAGAAACATAAAAAGCTTAGAAAAATTCAATCTAGATAATTGTACTATGTCTGTTTAGGAAATAATGTAATTTTCATCACTCACACACACACACACACACACACACAGAGAGAGAGAGAGAAAAAAAAAGAAATACGGAGAGTACATCAGTAAGATGGAGATATTGGACAATTTTTTATCTCCTCCCCAACTTGCTTCTGCCTTCAAGGTCTGTCTTTAATTTTCGGTTCAGATTCACAAATACCCAAATGCAGATGCAAAAACTCACTCCAAAACCTTTTAGAATTATTTCCACAATCACCCACCTTATTCCATTTGGTTCAATAAGAAACTTTTGATAACTAATTCTATGGTATAGTCATAGTACACATTTTTTTAATAGCAGTGTTTTCAAATGAAGTGATTTGTAACTGAATTTTTAAATGAACCCAACAGATAAAATCAGAGTGCATTCATATGACATACTGTTTTGTAAACTACTATTTTACGTTTTCTATCATTCATAGAAATGCAACACATGTATCTCAGTATGAGGCACAGTATGAGAAAAAGTTTCATTGACAGTGGTTGTTTAACCTAGTAAGTGGTTTGTAATTTTAGTTTTGTTTGTTATTTTTTTTAAAGGATACTATTGCTGCTCCAACATATTGAGCTGATTCCATGTGGTGACGTGTGTGGGTTGAATTTATCCACCAATGTCATAGATGAAGCATCCCATATTTTAATATCATCTCCTGATGAAGCAAATCTGAGGTTTTCCTGCATGACTGCACCTACAAATAGTTTAAAACAATATATTTTAAAAACATTTAATAACATATTCAAAAAAGGTCAAAATCTAATCTAAAACAAGTGGCTCTAACTCTGCCATTTTTGTTCCAAACAGTGCACTCATCAAAGTAGTTGAAGTGATCTTCCTAAAACATAAGCCAGATCACATTATCTTAGCTGACCCTTCCAATGGCTGCTCACAGTAATTAAAATGAAATCCTTAGCCTGCCTTACATGTCCTGGGCCCCATGTAACTCTCCTCTCTTCACTGTCCTTCTGTCTGCCTCATACAAAGGCAAGGTTATTCTCACCTCAGTGTCTCTTCATTTTGCTGCTCCCTTTGCCTAAGATGTTTTCCTCAGATTCCCATTGTCATCTCCTTCTCATCATTCAGGTCTTAGCTCAAATGTTTGCTCCTATGAAAGGCCTTTCCTGACCACCCTGGCTAAAGCAGCCCCTGGTAAGGGGCTTACCAGGTTACCCTATGTCCACTACCTGATTTCATTTTTTTCATAGTACTTACTACTATCTGAAATTCGGAGTGCAATGGCGGGATCTTGGCTCCGAGCGATCTCAGCTCACCACAACCTTCGCCTCCCCTGTTCAAGAGATTCTCCTGCCTCTGCCTCCCGAGTAACTGGGATTACAGGCATGCGCCACAACATCCGGCTAATTTTGTATTTTTAGCAGAGACGGGGATTCTCCATGTTGCTCAGGCTCGTCTCGAACATCCGACCTCAGGTGATCAGCCTCCCGAAGTGCTGGGACCACAGGCGTGAGCCACTGAACCCAGCCACTATCTTAAGTTTTTATTTGTTTTCATAATAGTGTCCATCTCCCCGTACCAGAGTCTTGAAACACTCCTGGCACACCACAGCTTTTCAACAAATAATTGTTAATAAGTAACTTCCTAATTTTTTAAGAAATGTATGATGACAAACTATCATTTCTCCAGGTCAGAATCTAGTCACACCCGTTTTCCCAAATAACTGTAAAATTAGCAATATGGTCAAATGAGATGCCACTAAGTCCCTATACCAATACTTGAACTACAATGCCTTCACTCATTAATTCAGAGTATACAGTTGTAACACATAATTCTAACAAGATGTTTTCACAAACCAAGGAAGTTTAGAAAACAGAAGGCAAGGAAACTGCTCTAGGCAGGCACTTTGAAGAGTGACAGGTAATAATGAGCAATAGGTGAGGAAAAAGATGCTCAAAAATACACGGGGGAAAGGGAAAGGGAGAGGGCACAGAATTATACTTCCCACATCGCCCTAGTATGGAAAGTGCAAGACTACTGTACAGCATTAGTGACGTCACAGATAGGTCCCCGAGTCATTAACAGAACATCACACTTATGTCTAGTTTAAACCATTTCAGAGGACAAGTTAAAGGCATCATTACAGAAACTTGTCACTCTCGAGACAAAAAGTTAATGTGATTCACTCATGTGCTTCCTTACGTTCCATTCATCCGATACAGTGCTACTAACATTAAAGTCACCTGTTGAAATGTTAACAGTGTTTGGATTTGGTGTCTTAAACCTGTGTAACACGTGCCCTCTTGGTTCACAAGTCAAGGAACAATGAATGAATTGCTGGAAAAGCGATCTCTAAGCCTTGTAAACACAACTGCAAGCTGTGTCTACCTGCATCCTACACCAGGCCTGTTGAGCTGCGGGGTGTAGTGGGTAGATCACTGAGGCCAGGGCTCAGAAAACCTGGATTCGAACGATCTGCTCCAATGCAGGAGACAAAACAAGCCGAGTGATTTAATGTTTTTCACTCTTAAAGCGGAGCGGGGAAGAGGACCATCGGCCCAACTACCTCGGTCTTCTGAGAACTGAGCACACTTAAGGGAGAGACTTTACATCAGTCCCGCAAAGATGGTCCCACGGAAAGCGAGCAGTCAGGACACAAGCGGTAATGTCGGCCTGGGTTTAGGGGCAGTGGCTACAGAAACCAATTCAACTACACCACTCAGCTGAAATGCAAGTTCTCCAACTTTCGGTCGCCAAAAATGCACTTTATTTGCAGGACAACCGCTCAATTGGGGCTACCCTGTAAAATGCATCCGAGTACCTGGCAAAAGAGAAGTACTTGAGGTTAACTTAAAAAAAAAAGAGAGAGAGAGAGACGGACTTGCGGAGACGAGGCAAACTTTTCGGAGGCAGCACATCCCCCAGGGCCAACACCAACCTTACCCCAGCTGACCTGGGCCGCCTCGGGAAGTGCGCGACCTCGGCCCGCTGCTCCCGGGACGCTTCCGCGCCCAACGCGCCGCCTCGCCCCTGCCAGGCAACTGCTTGCGGCGCGCGAAGCCCAAGGACCTCCGCCCCGCCCTCTGAGGGGGACGCAGGGGGCCCTGGGATCCCGAGGGTGCACGGACGCGGCGGGCGGCGCCCCACAGATCCCAGCACCTACGAAACCTCACCTCACGGCGGCAACACAACAGGGGGCCGCGGCCCGCTCAGCGATGGGCTTCCGGCTCCCGCTTAGACGGTTAAACTTCGGCGGCCGGAAGTCCCGCCCCGAGTGACGTCACGAAGCAAGGCGCTGCCTGCAGCTGTGGCTCCTGGCAGGACGGGAAAGGGGCGTAGAGGTTCTGGCCCGAGCAAAGCTGGGGCGCCACGGGGTAAGTTAGCCCAGTGCCAGGGCGGCTCTCTTTACGCCCCAGCGACGGAGCTCCGGCCACTGGCAACTGCTCTTTTGTCATTCACTTGCTGTCTACTGTGTGCCAGGCACTGTGCTAGACTCTTGGGTGTACAGTGATGGTTTAGCCTGGGGACACAGGAATACAGTGAATTCTCATGCTGCTTGGCCTCGTGGATCTTACAATCCACTATAGGAGGCTGACGTTATTAGATACTTAAATGGAAAATGAAACTATGATAATGAAAGGTATAAGTTGCACGAAGACCCATAAAGGGAAACTATTGTAGATGTGGATTTAGGAAAGGATGCCTATCTGCAATTTACCAGCCAGGAAAAATGCATTCAGTCTGAGAAATAACCGGAACAGTAAGCGTCTGCACTAGCCGACTTCAAAACCCATGATCTTTCTTTCTCATCATGCTGCGAGGTCAAGAACATCAAACATCCTCTAGTTGGGAATTCTTTTGAAGGGGATGCTTCAAGGTGGAAAAGGAAGTTGCTGAGCCGAGTTTTCAAATGCCCCTTCCAAAGGGCCTTTTATAGCCCTACTGACAATTTTTGCTGAGAATATTTATCATAATTCTAGTGCATTTCTTCTGCAAACAGTGTTATTCTTTCATCACAACTACATGGGGTGTGTTTCTCAACTAGGCCCCAGCTATCTGCATTCATATTGCAGATAATTGGAAAGTTCTAATAAGTGCATTTTTTTCAGAGCAGAAATTGAAATTGGAGCCAAGTTATTGAGGTTCATGGGAAATGGCAAAAGGAGGAAGATAGCAAGTAGCAACTACCTTAATTGTACAGTCTGCAGTTCTTGAGGTTATAAAATCCAGTTTGGGCAAGGAAGAGGCCCAGAAAGTTGGGAACTAAGAAAGTAGAGTAAGGGAGTAGGGGCAGGGAGAATGGGAGCAATTGGAAAACAGAAAGCTTCAAACAAAAAGGACAATTAATTAAATCTCTCAAAATTGAAGCCAGCAGGAAAATTGAGACTAGACTATATAAAAAAATACATAATACGTGTAATATAATATATACATCTATGATATAAAAATATGTCTAGTGTTTGTTTGTTTGTTTATTTATTTATTTATTTATTGAGACGGAGTTTCGCTCTCCTTGCCCAGGCTGTATAGTGTGATGCCGCGATCTCGGCTCACCGCAACCTCCACCTCCTGGGTTCAGGCAATTGTCCTGCCTCTGCCTCCTGAGTAGCTGGGATTACAGGCACGCGCCACTGTGCCCAGCTAATTTTTTGTATTTTTTAGTAGGGACGGGGTTTCACTATGTTGACCAGGATGGTCTCTATCTCTTAACCTCGTGATCCACCCGCCTCGGCCTCCCAAAGTGCTGGGATTACAGGCGTAAGCCACCGCGCCCGGCCCTGTCTAGTATTTATTTATTGAATACTAAGCATTGTATTTGTGTGTATAGATATAATGTGTATGTATGCAGTACATATATAATTTACTCTGTGTAAAAACACATGAAGGATAGGCTATTATTTGTCCCCAATTTACATATGAGGAAATAGAGGTTAAGTAACCTGCCCAAGGTCACAAGGTTAATAAATGGTAAAGTCAGAAGTTAAACCTGGGACTATAAGACTACAAAGACTGTCCCACACTATTATGCTGTATAATCAAGAGCCAAAATACAGTGTAAAGGGCCAAATGGAAATCGCCACTCCTCTGTCCTCCACTGATGCTACAGCTTCATCAAATCTTACTGGCCCTGGAACAGTCCTGTCATTTTTGTTCCTGCCTCTGTGCTGATGTAAATACTATTTCCTCAGTTTTGCATAATAGTCTAACGAACGATAGATGCCAAACGTTGGAAGCCTTGCTAATATATGAATTACATAAATATATACAGCTTTCCAAAAGTAGCCATCAAGACAATATTTCTAGAGAGAAAGAGAAATATTTCATAATGATAAAAGGGTAAGTAAAACCAAAAGCCATATCAATTTTAAATGTTTATGTGAACACAGGAGAATTTTGAGGTATAAGAAGAATAAATATCAAAGCTAAAGGGGGAAAAAGACATACCCATAGTCATTACTGGGGACACTGACAGAATTTGCTCAATAATTCATACAACATCCAGATAAGAAAAAAAATCAGAAAAAATGTGGCAAATCTGTATACTCTCAACTATTTTAACTGACATTTTTAGAACACTATAGCCAACTACTTCAGGATAAACATTCTTTTCAAATACACATAAAGATGGAGTATATATTGGGCTATAAAACAAGTCAATAGATTTTTAACAGAATAAATCTTACAGAGCATGCTCTCTGATCACAACAGTCTTAAATATAAATATAAAACAACACATCTAGAAAAGACCCAAACATGAAATAAAACAATCTTAATTCTAACAACCCATAGGTGAAGGAAGAAATCAAATCACAAATATTAATAATAATAGAAAATATTTGAACTGATCGATAAGTAAAATGCAACAATACAAATTTATGGAGACAGCTAAAGCAGTTCTTAGGGAAAAATAATAGGTTTACGTATTTATATTATGGAAAAAAAAGGTCCAAAATCACTAATCTATGCTCTCTCTTAAGAAACTTAGAAAGAGAAAAAATTAAATACAAAGTAAAGATTAGAGTACCGAACAATGAAATTGAAAAAAGATGAACAGCGAAAAATCAATGAAACCAAAAGCTGATTTTTGAAATGATTAATAAAATTGATAAATCTCTAGCTAGACTTATCAATAACAAAGAGAAAACATAAATTACCAATACAAAATTGAAAGAGAAACCATCAATATAAATCCAAAGGACATTTACAAAGATAAGGGAATAAACAACTCCGTGTCAATAAATTTGGTCACAACTAAAACAAATGAATACCTTGAAAGACAAATATTAAAACTGACACAAGAAGAAATAGATAATATGAGTACCTATATGTACCATAGAAATTGAATTGGAAATTGAGAAAGCCATCTTATAAAGGAACCCCAGGATCAGATGGCTTTACTGTTGAATTCTATCAAACACATGAAGAAATAATACAACATTTTAGGAAAACAGAAAAAGAGAGAATATTTGCTAAACCCATATTTTAGGGGCAGTATTACTCTGAAACTAAACCAGAAAAAGACATTAGAAGAAATAACCATAACTCATATCCCTTATGTATAGAGACAAAATTACACACACACACACACACACACACACAAAGTAAATCCAGTAATTTATAAAAAGAATGATGATCAAGTGAGATTTATTCCAGAAAGAAAGATTGGTTTAACACTCAAAAATCAATTAACATAATTCACCAAATTAACAAGGGAGAAAACCCATATAATTATATCAAAAGATGAAACAAAAGCATTATAAAAATTTTTAACATCTACCCATGATTTAAAATGCTTGACAGACTGAAAAAACAAAAGGAAGGAAACATCCTCAAGTAGTTCAAAGTCCTCTACAAAAAGCCTACAGAGAGCACCTTAGTTAATGATGAAAGATCCAAGATCGAATGTCTTCCCCTAAGATGAGCACAAAGAATACCCAGGCTTACTAGCACGACTATTCAACATTCTTCTGGAGGCCATTGGCAGTGCAATAAGACAAGAAGAAGAAAAGAAAGAGAAGAGAAAGGAAGAGGGGAAAGGAGAAGGAGAAGGGAGAGGCGAAGAAGAAAACAACAACTACACAGAATAGAAAGGAAGAAGTAAAACTCTATTTATTGCAAAGAGAATGATTGTGTACTGTAAAATCATAAGGAATCCAGGAAAAAACTAGAGCAGTGTGAATTCAGTAATGCCTATGCAAGGTCAATATACAAAAATAGAATTCTATATATTAGCAATAAACAATCAGAAAAGTAAAAGTTACAATTTCATTTCCAACAGTATCTAAAAGTATGAAATATTTACACATAAATGTACTAAAATATGTTCAATAATTGTACATCGAAAACTACAGAACATTGCTGAGAGAAGTTAAAGACCTAAATAATGAAGAGCTGTATCATATTCATGAGTTAAAGGATTCAATATTATTAAGATATCAGGTTTAAATAATGCAATTTGTTGTTCTTATATTATGCACCAATAACTTTATTTTTAAAAAGATCTCAGGAACAGAGTTCCTAATTATTAAGAAATAAAGTGATGGGTCTTCACTTGTAAGAGAAAAAGGAAACACAACAAAATACGTAATTGTTGAATTTAAGAACCCTGGCTTGAAAGGCTTTAAATATTCTTAAAAAAAAAAGTTACTAAACAAGTTTCAAGAATCAGAATGGCTTTTTCACAATGGGTTTCCTGCCAGAACACAGGTGTCATGAAAACCACTCCTAAAGGCTAAAATGGGAAAGGAAAAGACTCACATTGACATCGTCATCATTGGACACATAGATTTGCCAAATCCATCACTACTGGTCATCTGATCAATAAATGTGGTGGCAGCAACAACAACAAAAACACATCAAAAAATCTGAGAAGGAAGCTGCTGAGATGAAAAAGTGTTCCTTCCCATGCCTGGGTCTCGGATAAAATGAAAGCTGAGCTTGAACGTGGTATGACCATTGATATCTCCCCATGGAAATTTGATGTCTCAGAACACAGAGATTTTATCATAAACATGAATCCAGGCATATCTCAGGCTAACTCTGCTGTTCTAATTGCTGCTGATGTTGGTAAATTTGAAGGTAGCATCTCCAAGAATGGGCAGCCCCATGAGCATGGTGTTCTAGCTTATACACTGGGTATGAAGCAACCAATTGTTGGTGCTAACAAAATGAATTCCACTGGCCATCCTAGGATCAGAAGAGGAAATTACTAAGAACGACAGCACTTATATTAAGCAAATTGGCTACAACCTAGACACAGTAGCATTTGTGCCATTTCTGGTTTGAATAGTGACATCATGCTGGAGCCACGTGCTAACATGCCTTGGTTCAAGGGATGGAAAGTCACCCATAAACATGGCTCCAGTGGAAACACGCTGCTTGAAACTCTGGACTGTATCATACCACCAACCCCTGTAACTAAAAAGCCCCCATGTCTGCCTCTCCAGGATGTCTACAAAACTGATGGTAGTTGTAAGATTTATTGCCGAGGTAAAATGAGGAAACTGAGGCAAGTATAAGATAGTGAGGAGCTAATTTATTCAGCTCCTGGGCAAGGTTCAATGGTCCAAGGCAGGGCCAGAGAAGTTGCACCCAGCTGTTCAGGGGTGGGTTTGCAAGAAGTTTGCAACTTCTTGGACGATCCTATTCTGGATACCAATGTTGATTCTGTTGAAATGTACCATGGGCCGGGCGTGGTGACTCATGCCTGTAATCCCAGCACTTGGGAGGCAGAGGCAGGTAGACCAATGAGGCCAGAAGTTTGAGACCAGCGTGGCCAACATGGTGAAACCCCGTCTCTACTAAAAATACAAAAATTATCCAGACATGGTAATGCATGTCTGTAATCCCAGCTACTTGGGAGGCTGAAGTGGGAGGATCGCTTAAACCCAGGAAGCGGAGATTACAGTGAGCCAAGATCACACCACTGCACTCCAGCCTGGGTCACAGAGCGAGACTCCATCTCAAAAAAGGAAAAAAGAAAAAAAGAAATGTACCATGAAGGTTTGATTGAAGCTCTTCCTGGAGACAATGTGGGCTTCAGTGTGAAGAATGTGTCTGTCAAAGATGTTTGTTGTGGCAGAGTTGCTAGTGACAGGAAAAATGACCCACCAATGGAAATAGCTTGCTTCATTGCTCAGGTGATTATCCTGAGCCTTCTAGGCCATACTGGTGCTGACCATGCCCCTCTGCTGAATTGCCACACAGTTCACATTGCTTGCAAGTTTGCTGAGCTTAAGGAAAAGATTGATCGCTGTTACAGTAATAAGCTGGAAGATAGCCCTAAATTCTTGAAATCTGATGATGTTGCCATTGTTGATATGGTTCCTTGCAAACCCACGTGTGTTGAGAACTTCTTGGACGATCCTATTCTGGATCGTTTTGCTGTTTGTGAGATGAAACAGACAGCTGCTGTGGATGTCATCAAAACAGGCGACAAGAAGACTGCTGGAGATGGCAAGGTTATCAAGTCTGTCCAGAAACCTCAGAAGGCTAAATGAATATTATTTAGTCTTAATCAGTGGTGGAAGAACAGTGTCAGAACTGTTTGTTTCAATTGGCCATTTAAATTTAATGATAAAAGACTGGTTGATGGTAACAATGCATCGCAAAACCTTCAGAAGGAAAGGAGAATGTTTTTTGGACCATGTTTGGGTTTGTGTGTTGTTGTTGTTGTTGTTGTTGTTGTTTTCTTCCATTTTTTTGCGTGTGGCAGTTTTAAGTCATTAGTTTTTAAAATCAGTACTTTTTAATGGTAACGACTTGACTAAAAAGCTGTCTCAGAATTTTGAGACCCATTAAAGTTTAATGAGAAAAAAAAAGAAGAATGACTTCCATTCTTAACAGTAACACTAGAATTTACACGATGATAGAACAATACTTCCATATTTCTGAGCAAACATGATTGCTACTCTAGAATTATCTAGCTAGCTTATAATTCAAGTGTCAAGAAGGAATAAAAACATTTTCAAACACGTAAAGTCTCAACAAATTTTCCTCCCGTGCACCTTATCAAGGAGCTACTTGAGGCCAGAAGCAGTGGCTCATTCCTGTACTCTCCACTGCTCCAAAGGTGGAGCAGGGAGAATTGCTGGAGCACAGGAGTTTGACACCAGCCTGGCCAACATGGTGAGACCACATCTCTAATGAAAAGAAGCAAAGAAGCTACTTGAGGAATCGATACACCAAAACAAAGGAGTAAACCCAAACAAAGGAAGACAGGACATCCAGCCTCAGAAAGCTGAAGAAAAATCCCAGGATGACAGGTGAGCACTGGGCCCAAAGAGCAACCAGGCAGGGCAGGTAGCAGGTCGAAAGATTCCAGTAGTGCTATTATCAGGAAGAGTCACACACACACACACACACACACACCCCTCACGTGTACAATTGTACTAAGAAGAGGTTACACACTCTTACAGAAAGAGTAGATTAGGAGATTAATTCATGACTAGACACAGAAAACTAGAAAACCAACCAATTAACCAAATGACAAAAATAATA